TACATTTTACTTACAAAAATGTTTGAATTATTTTTTGAAATATTTATATTTAAACTTTAAAAAAATTGATTTAAAAATACATAGTCGGCGGAATCGATAGCCGGCGGAATCAATAAATAAAAAAGTTCGGCGGAATCGATAGCCGGCGGAATCAATAAATAAAAAAGCTCGGCGGAGTCGATAGCCGGCGGAATTGATATTAAAACGGCGGAATCGATAAAACCCCGAAATATAGTTAATATCGTAATTCGTAGTCACTGTTCCTCCTCGTAACTACGTCGCGGTCTCATCACATATATTTTGATGATAATAAATACCAGTAAAATAAACCTTCAATATTCTATTATCGATTATAGTGCATCTTTATACTCATGTGCGTATTATGCATAACTGCATTATTTCTATACATAACACATAAGTACATTATGGCTTTTACTGCATGAATATATATTGACTAGGGATTTAAGGCCAGTGAGTATAAAGCTTACCTTGAGGTGCGCCGATACAAGTGCAATACGAATATTATATGAGAGGAAAAAAATATTATCATGTCTACATTTTATGCAATATATGTTATTATTAAAGATTATTAGATCGATAACTGTATATTATTTACATTAACAATAGGATGGTTATATTAACTATGTAATATTATTTATGAAAGCAACGGTGTTAGCAATATTTATTCTGACAATTCTCATAATACCATATTCCGCGTATTAATTATAATATGTTTTTCGTTAAAATAATCATTGACAGATAAATAATAAACATTATGCATTTAAACAAATTAATTTGTCTTTATATAAAAGTATAAAATTTACATTCGTATAATCAATTTGTAAATGTCGATATTACATAGGTAGATACTCTTAAATAGTTTTTTTTATAAAATATATTTTGTGTTTTAATGCATACAGATTACCTAATTAAATTATTATTTTTTCCCGAAAATAATATGATTTTGCACTCGTGTGTGGTCTTCAGTTTTTAATCGATATATTGGGTAGAACTTGGACTAAAAGTACACGTAATATTTTTATTTAGGTAATAAATTTCAAAAACTTATTACAGCGATATTTTAGTTGTACGTACATTTATCGTAGATAATAATGTCACCTAAGAATGACATCAGTAATTCGTGTCGAGTTTCGAGCACATGAGATTTATTACCTTGTAAGATGAAAAAAGCTACATTTTCAAACCAACTGATTAATCTTTTTTTTTTTTTTACTAAAAATTATGCCCTCAATCGTAATTTCATAATATATCAGCAGTATCAACAGTAAATACACATATAAGTTCTAATACAATTTATGAGGTTTGAGTAAGTAATATTGTAAAGTTAAAATATTACTAGTCTATAATTATAGCTAAATATATTGACGAATGATACCATAATTTTATTGTACTAAATATTTATACTATTGTGCAATATACATCAAATATTATTATGGTAGTGCTGCGCAGTTATTTTTTATTTACGACTTAATATCAATGTCGATTTATTATTTATATTATATGTTTATAATATTATTATTGGGTTTCCATTTTTCAGTATCCAATATTAACTATATTATTCAGGCAATATACAATAAAACGCGAATCCACTATCAATCGGCTATCAAACATATAGTTGATAAATTACATGAATTTTTTTACTATGTTTAAAATAATAAAATGTTTGCATTGTATTTAAGTATAATATATGTAAATCGTAACTATTTATTTCTTGTTACGTTGTATAAAAATTAATAATTATTGATCATTAGTGAATAATGAATATAGTGTAATTTGATCTAGAATTAATAAATTATGGTTTTGTGTGCATTAATTTATTGTCCGTTGTCGTTTTCAAGGTCTTATGATATAAGAGGTATACGTATATTGTCACTGTCACAGAGTTAGGATTGTAGGCATCTGTTTTTTATATTGGTTCCAAGTCCCACGGTAATGCGCTAATATCTACCCACATATATTCTTATGTGTAAAGTTTAGAGTGTAATTTTTAAATTCGGTTTTAAGCTATAGCCTCTAAGAATAAGGAGTGTTCCGGTATCTTTGTGTAGTTTTTTTTTTTATTTCTCCTGAATCATTATAGTGGTTAGTACGTAGAGCTCTGCGAACGCGTCCGTGTGAACCATACACATTTTAATTACAATTTATAGTTTCCAGAACTCGAAGGGAGCGTGTATGGTGAAGAAAACGATACAATCCAAAACAATAAAGGTCAAGACGTCACCATACAAGTCGGAGAGACAGTTGAAGAGACATTTCAGTGTTTGTCGAAAGCTTTGGGCGACGATTTGGACTCTGCCAAGAGCTTAGCCGAAGCCGCTCACAAAGAATTCGGATCGAAAGATCTCAACGTCGACTGTTATCCGCTCGAAGAGGAAAATCTCGATTTGGAAAAAATCGGTATATGGATCGATCCTATTGGTAATTCGTTTATTGTAATTATTATTGTACGTATGACGTTATATGATAATATTATTTTAGAACGACAAATTTTATATCATTGAGACTCGTCCGGTTTTATAGTAAAAAAATGTTATCACTCTGAACGCATTTATTGGATGCCGATGGATAACAGCAATAATCATTTAAACAAAATTTAATACCGAAGTACATGTTTAACAATAATTTTAATAGCCGTAACGTTTTCAGACAATATATTTTACGTTTTAGTGATTCTTTCATTATTATTATTATTATTGTTTTGAAATTTATTGTGTACCTACCTACACCTCTTGGTTAAATGTATAAATGTATATAATATTAATGGTTATATTTGATATAGATATAGTATAATTTTGAGATTTCATTTGAGATATCTGTTTAAGGGATATTTTGATAACGACCAAAAAAAAAAATATTTACAGTGCTATGAGACTCTATTTGGGATCTCGTGTTTTAAAAATTCAAAAACCAATAAAAAATCTTCAATTAGGGTGGAGTCGCCACCTATGGCCACGTTAAGCATTTTTTTTGTGAATATATTGTACTAATTGTAGTTATGATCATAGAAAAATCCTGAAATTCAAACCAAGTATACTTTATAACATGACTTATACTTGGTTAAAGTTTCAAGTCTCTGTAAGTAATAGTTAGGAAGAATTTTCAATTTAACTTTTAATTTCTCATTTTCCCCTATTATGGCCAGATCAACTCCGACTATGG